TTTTTCTGGATCAACACTGATTCCATCCTTGGATACGTGGTATCCTAGGAACTTACCTGATCCTACGCAAAAGGCACATTTTTTTGGGTTAAATTTCATATTAATCTTATGGAGAATCGAGAAGATCTCGCGCATATCCTTGATTACTTGCTCATCTTCGTTACTCTTGATCACTATGTCATCCACATATATCTCGAGGTTTCGGCCGATCTGGTCATGAAATGCTCGGTTGACGAGACGCTGATAGATTGCACCAGCGTTATTCAAGCCAAAAGGCATCTTGTCATAACAATACACCCCGATCTCGGTGATGTAGGCTGTCTTCTTCGCATCTTCTCGTGCCATAAAGATTTGATGGTATCCTGTATAACCATCAAGGAAACTTAGGGTCCTATACCCAGTGATACCCTCGACCATCTGGTCTATGATTGGTGAGGGATAATAGTCCTTGGGGCAGTGTTTGTTGAGATTCGTGTAATCTTGGCACATGCGCCAAGAGTTGTTGGGCTTCCGTACTAGGACTGGATTAGCCAACCAGGTAGGCCAAAGAACTTCTCGGAGGATGTTAGCGCGGACCAGCTTCAACGTTTCTTCATTGATGACATCATTGTGATCTCGAGCGAATATTCTCTTCTTCTTTTGCACAGGTTTAACATTGGGATCGACATTCAAGCTGTGTTCAATAACGTTTCGTGGCACCCCTGTCATGTGTGTGGGTGATCAAGCGAATATATCATGGAACTCGCGTAGCAAGGCGACTACCTCGGCTAGCTAGGTTCCGTGAAAGGATATCCCTATCTGGATGGTCTTGGAGGGATCCTTCTCGTTAAGAACAAGCTCCTGTGTTTTGCTGCTAAGTGGTGATAGGCTATTAATGTTGTGATCCTCCGACTGTAAGAGTAACGTTGTTTGTTGGATTGAGTAGCACCCTGACATAGCAGTGCCTGAGTTACACTTCATGGTCTTCTTCCCCATCTTGACAGCTGTGAGTAAACACTCTCGAGAGCTGCGTTGGTATCCTTGCACCACTCCAACTCTGTATTTTGTTGGAAATTTCATTACCAGGTGATAAGGAGATCAAATTGCTCGAGCTTGACACATCCAAGGTGTACCTAGAATCACATTGAACGGCGAAGGTGCATCGATTAAGGCGAAATCCATGGTTACTATAACCATCCTAGGATGCATCCCTCCCGTGATGGGAAGACTTATGATTCCCATCGGGGTAATGGTATGGCCCGAGAAGCCCATCAATGGTAATGTTGCTGGGCAGATCTTGGGATTTTGGATGTTCATCTTCTTGAAACAATCGCTGTATATGATATCGACTGCACTGCCGTTATCCACGTAAACTCGACTTACGTGAACGTTTCCGATGATCGCCTCAATATCTATAGCATCACTGTGAGGACAGATATCAGGGACCACGTCGCTATCAGTGAAATCTATGGCCTCCGTCCCTTTAAACTTCTTGTGGCTTGATTCTTGAGGAGGAGTTTTGGTGACAGTTCGTATCGAGTTTTTCATGGCTGTGGTAGATAATACCTCGAGAGAAGCTCCGTAAATGGCTCTCACATTATGAGTGATCTATTTAGTAGGATCCACTGGAGGGACATGCTGAAGCGGTTGGGGGTACTCCTTCAATGGCTTGTTGGGGAAGCTACTGCGTATTGTTCCTTGGCTGCCAGTTATTTCCCCGATTTTCCCCTCGGGGCCCCCGGAAATTCCGCCTTGGGAAGTTTCATGACGAGACGGGCTTACCGTTCCTTTGTCGAGAATATCCCTGTACGTACAGTTAGAATTTCCCAGATTTAACTCCATTCTCAATCTCCCTCTTGAGCTCTCGGCAATCTTTAGTATCATGGCCGCGGTCTTTGTGGTATTCACAATACTGTTCTGTCGACCTGTTTGGATTAGGAGCCAAGGGTTTTGGGGTTGGCAATTCATCCTTGTGGATTTGGAGGATTTCATGACGCGATTTGGTTAGTGGGGTCAACTGCCTATTGAGCTTAGGCAATGTTGTCATGCTTTTCATGGTAATCCTTGGCTTACCCCTTGTTTTGACTATTGTAAAAGATTCCTGCGGCCTTTTGAGTGTATGCTCTCATTGAATATAATTCTCAACTATGGCCCACATCTCCTGAGAACTCTGGGGAGGTTTAGTTGAGAGCTTTACCCTTAACATCGAGGATTTTTCAAACGGGTTAAGTCCTTAGATGAAGCCATTTTGAACGTCTCGTTCATCTATGTTGTCGATCTGTAGGGTCTCTCGGATGAAACGCCTATGAAAGTCTGAGAGCCTTTCATGTTGACCTTGTTTGATGGTGGAGAGATCAATGGACATCCTGATGATTTGCTTACTTTGGAAAAAACAAGTGGCCAATTTGATAGACAAGTCTTCGAAGCTAATTATGCTTCCTTCTGGTAACTCTCTAAATCACCCTTGTGCTTACCGGGTCAGGTAGAAGGGCAAGGCCTTAGCCATGAAGTTTGAAGGTGCATTCTTGATTCTCATAACGTGGACATATCCCTGTAACCACTGGGAGACATCAGTAGCTCCGGAGTACTTCGTGAAATCCTTGGGAAAGTCAAAGTCTTGGGGCTTCGGCTCATCTCAAATTTCCGGTATGAAGGGGCTATGGTCCAAAGCCATTCCAATGATCCTCCACATCACCTCTCGAATCGAGACATTATGCCACCTCATCGCCTGTTGTTGCCGAGGAGGATGACGTGGGAACTCCTCGTGATTGTTGTATTGTTACCGCCTAGGAGGTGAATACTGAAGATGACGGTGATGCCCCTGTCCATATTCTTCTCCGGTATCATCGTTGTCCCGATACTATCTGTGGAAAGGTCTATATTCCTCCCTTCGAGGAATTTTTCGATGCCAGTTGGGTCCCAATCGGTCGTGGATATTAGTCTTTCTCGGAGGGTTCCATTCACCCTCTTTTATGTCTGTATATCATATCAAACTCTTCGAGGGCTATATCAAAAGCAAGATATTTCTTATGAAAGTGTTCTAGTAAACAGTATCTCGAGTTGCGGGTGAATGGTCTTCTAGGAAGCCTTCGCAATCTGAGAACTCCTGATAGTCCTCTTCTTCCTGGACTTTTCGCTTACCTTGTTTCTTCTCGAGAAGGGCTAAGGTACGGCGGGCTTCCTTCACGTCGATCAAGTCAGCCAATTCTTGGTCAGTTGGATCAGGTTATCCAAGGAGACAGCGACGCCTTGTTTCTTCGAGGACATATCTTTTCATCCTTTGGTTTTGATCGCTGTCATCACGTAGCTTTTTGAGTTCGGCCTCGATCTTGGTCAACTTTTGATCCTCCAAGCGTTTCCTGGATGCTGTGGTGTTTCGAGGAGGATGCAAGTCTTCCTTTTCCATCGCCGGATTAGTATTGTCTGGTTTCTTCAGATTGGGCTAGGAAGAGCCCAGGACCAACTGTTCCTTTTCTGGTTCTTTCTCATGTCCTTTTTCATGGCCTTTTCCTGCCTTCTTTCTTTCTTGTCTACTCTAGAACTCTGCAGGGTAGTGTTGCCGGCTGGACTGCGCCGCCTACCTGAAGATGCCATGCTGTTTTTGTCTTCCTTAACCCTAGCCATTGTGTAGATGCTCCCAGAAACCTTAAATCACACCGAAAAAGATTAGGGAGACCTGAGAAGGTTTTCGTGACACTAATCCTAGTTTTCGGGTCCTACTAAGCGTACCACTTGACGAAGCCTGGATTTACACCGCCGGTTTAGTAGCGGAACTTCGGCTAGGTTTTCCTGCAAAAGAGGACCTCGGGGATCTCCCGAAGGTAGACACTCTGATGCATAAGTCAGTAAAAGGGTTTTTTTAAGAACGTGTATCAATAGCAATCTGTGCTAGATATAGCGTACGCATATTGTGGTGTGACCAATCCTATTTATAGGCATAGAGTTACCTTGAAGGAGGCCGAATCCTATTAGGTTTCATGTTCCAGAACCGCCTCTGTAAGGTCGGTTGGTCCATAATAAGTGGATGGGCCTGACCAATAGCTCGCGGAGGATATGGACTCGTGACGGAGCTTGGAATCATGGAAAGTCAGGACGAAAAACTATCGTAACAAAAATATGTTCTTTCGAACAAATATTCGTACATCTTCCTTACTACATGTTTTAGGGGCCCTGCTCCTAAATTATTAAGCCCAAATAAAATTACATAGGAAAATATGCGGTGAGACTTAAAGGGAAAAACCAATAAAAAGAAGAGAGAGAGAGAGAGTTGCCATTTATGTGATTTCAAAGATACATGTTACAAACCACAATGTGTATTGATATAAATTGAAAAATAAAATTACACCTCGATAAGAAATGATTGTGAAGACCAAGTAAAAGTAAAGAGTGAATATGAAAAAAATGCTTGGATATCATTTTTTTTCACAAATAAATCAATGATATAAATTTCATAAATTCAATTTCTCAACAATAAACTATTTTTTCGGCACGTAATGAGTATTTTTGAAAGAGTAAATGATATTCCCTCCGTCCCATAATTACTGTCCAGTTTGAGATTTCATTTATAGTTCATTTTAAACTATAAGTAAAATCTCAAATTGGACAATAATTTTGGGACAGAGGGAATACATGCAAGAAAAAAAAATTACAACGAAGGTTTAAAAAATGAATGGATCTGATCATTTTTTGTCATTTTTCCATGTAATTTTTTCTCTCTATGCATCATTATTCTTTTCTAAAATAAATCAAGTGTTTTTAAAATGTCATGGAATTCATTGTCGACATATACAAGCTCCTCATAAAATGTCATTGAATTTTTTTTCGGTTAAAAAAAATGTCATTGAATTAATTGTCAACATTTACATACTCCTCGCAGTCTATATCCATAGACCTCAGGAGAATAGTGCAACGGCTCAGAAGATACTATAAGGATCCAACCCAAAATTGGGCCCAATAGCCCAATAATCAGATTATTTAAGTTACCAAAAGATGAGTATTTTAAATTACCAAAATATGAGTCGGTTCAGTCATTTAAATTCCAATGACAAATGTCCTTCTCCTAATTAGGAAAGGCATTCGATACAAATTTTTTGCCGATATTGTTAATAAGAGGGTCCTCTAAATTCTCTGGTTACTCTAGGGTTCATCATTGCCATAAAAATTTATTGGAAGCAGAAAGCGATGAGTTTGCAGCAGCGTCGCCAGAATCAACGACGATCGCAACCACCGGCATCATCGCCGCAGCCGCCGCAACAAATGGCTTCACACATTCAATGGCGGCCGGTGCCACCGCAGCCGCCGCCGCAGCAGCCGCAACAAATGGCTTCACACATTCAATGGCGGCCGGTGCCACCGCAGCCGCCGCCGCAGCAGCAACGTGTGCCTCCGCAATCAAACACCTCACAACAGAGGCAGCAGATACGGCAAAGGCTTCAGGCGGTATCCGATTCTTTGCTTCGACAACAGCAACAGCCGCAGAGAGAAGCCACACCGGCGGCATCAGCATCATCGTCGTCGATTGGCAACGTGATTGATAACGGCGGCGGTGACGGAGATTGGCGCGAGGAGGTTTATCGAAAGATTGGATTCATGAAGGCAACCTATTCGACGGAATTGAACCTTATGTTGGAGAAAGTAAAAGCTAATTTGCAAAAGTATGAGTCTCTTCATCCTCAACAACAGCAACAACAGAGTAGGAATGGGATCGTTGAGAAGCTCCGGCAACTTAAGCACATGTTGGAAAACATTGACAGATTCTTGAGTATCAACAAGAGTGAGATAGAGAAGAAACACAAGGACTACCTGCTTGAGGTTGAGAAGCAGATCTTAAGGATGTTTAATAGGAGGAACCCCTCCTCAAGCTCTGCAATTTCATTGCAGCCAGGGAAATCACCTCAGCCTGATCAAATGCCTGCTCTTATTCAGCATCATTCCCCGTCTCAAGTTTATCAATTGCCACCTCAGGAAAACCGTATTATCCCAAGGATGATGCAGCCAAAGAATCTACAGAATCCGATGATGACAACTCTGCAACCACGGCCTGTGGTGTCCTCTGTTTCGCCGGTTTCCAGTTCTAAGCAAAATATGTTTAGTGGTGTACAATTACAACCAGCTGCTGCTTCCTCCTTGGAGAAGGGCCACCTGCAAATTAATGAGATGAATCTGTTACGGCAACATTGGCAACAACAACAACATCAACTGAAGCAGCAGCAGCAGCATCCTTCTCAGTTGTCAGTACATCAAATGCTAACTCTACACGGGATGGCTGGTTCTACTGGAATGAAGGTTGGGCAACAGATGGCTGTGAAACCAGCAGTTTCCAGGCAACATCATCCAAACAGCCAGACTCCGCCTTATCATCATCCTCAGTTGAAGGAGTCTGGAAATCCTGTTTCTCCTCCACAGGTCCTTCAGGCGAAATACCCACAGGTTCCTCCTCATACTTCCTTGCTAATTGATAAGCAGAATATGATGATATCTACTGCAAAAGCTACAACGCCATTGCAGGCTGCAAAGTCACCCTTGGTAGTAGCTCCATCTCCTGTGCCTGGAGAATCAGAAAAATCGAATTCTGGAACTTCGCAAGTAGCTACTGTGAGTGCCACAGGGCAAGCGATAGCTACTTCAGCCCCAGGGACATCAGCATCATCACCTTCAATGTCTGAGTGTACTAGCTTGGATGGTACTCGTGTCAAACAATCAACTGTAGTTTCTAGCCAATTGAGTGTTGTAGAACAGCCAATTGAACGGCTGATTAGAGCGGTTAGGTCGACATCCCAGAAAGCTTTGGCTGCTTCAGTTGCTGATATCAACTCAGTCTTCAGCATGGTTGATAAAATAGCTGAATCTCCCCTTGGGAATGGATCTGTAGCTGCTGTTGGTGAAGATCAGGTTGCCATGACAAAATGTCGTCTACGCGCCAGGAATTTTTCCACACAGGATGGACCTGCTGGGACAAAGAGAATGAGACGCTGCACGAGTGCAATGTCTTCCGAAGCAATTTCATCTGTCAGTAGTGAAAATGATAGTATGAAGAAGTTGAATTGTTCTGATTCTTTAGAGTTGGAGTCTACAGCTGCATCAGGCATTAAAAGACGTAGGCTTGGGGATCATGCCCTTATAGAAGAGATTCAGGGAGTAAATAAGCAGCTCGTAGAAACCTTGGTGGAGATTAGTGGTGATGATGATGCAGCTGAGGTTGGTGAAGGAATTATAGTGAAAGTCTCTTACAGTTCTGTTGCGCTCAGTCCAAATTTGAAGTCACAGTATGCTTCAGCAAAGATGTCGCCTATTTGGCCCCTTCGACTGCTTATTCCAGCTAGTTACCCGAATTCTTCTCCAGTAATCCTGGACAAGTTTTCTGCAGCGGGTGGTAAAAAGTGCGAATATCCTTTTACAAAGGCCTTATTAAAGTTCAGTACCTCTCTTAGAACTGTTTCACAACCGATGTCTCTCTCAGTGATGGCAAGAACATGGGATTTCTGTGCTCGTGCAGTTATATCAGAGTTTGTACTGCAAAGCAGTGGAGGGACCTTCAGCTCGAACTATGGTACTTGGGAGAGTTGTTTAACTGCGGCATAACTTATGATGCGACCTAGCGGACCAGTTTGCAGTATGGGGGTTCGGGGAGTGTTCATGACCTCTTTATGTTGTTAAGAATTTTTGTACTATTATAATGCATTAGGCTTCTTAGTCTTCTTTTAACTAAGGGAAAGAAAGAACAATTTTTCGTTTGAAATCTAATTGCTCTTTGTTATCTTTTATCCTGCACCAACAATCTTGTAAGAAAATAATAATTGGGAGATTTTAGACAGCATTTTCGGTGGTTAGAAAAATTTAAGCATGACGATTATAAAATTGTGGTTCAGTATATAACATGGCATGACAAGGGCAGGTTATATGCTTCTCTGGTAAAAGAGGAGATGATGGGTGGTTTTGTTGCTTCTTTGTGCATCAAAAGATTGTTTATCTGGTTATAAGAGGAGATGATGGGTGATGTTTATCTGGGATCTTGCTCCATCTTTGATAATCAAGGTAAGAAGCTAAAGAAATGCAAGAACTGGTCCAGTTTATTCTCTGTTAGAACTCAGATACGCTAAACCGTATTTCTGTCCAGTTTCGGTTGACTTAGGAGTTATGTCCATTTAACACTTGCTAAAGTTATATTGTTGTTATCAGAACTTTTAGAATGCCACCTTGTATTGAAATCAGTTTTCCTGATCAGATAACAAAGCTGTCTTAGCAAGGGAGACTCCTTATTTGATGAAATCAAGCTTATGCCTAATATTGTGTATTGATGTTGTAGAACCTGGCTTTCACATATTGTGTGTTTTTAGTGGTGTAAAAACACGAGGAATCAGCTTGGCACTTATAAGATCACATAGATGAGATAAGTTTCTCCATGTATTGGTTGCTAGAGCCTTAACTTGAATGCCTTTGACTAGATGGACCTGTAGGTGGATTGAGGTTTCTCCAGGTAAGTACGTGGATTGAGGTTTAGAATCAACAAATCTGCTCACTAGATGGACCTGTAGCTCTTTTCAACAGAGGTGAAAGGACAGAGAGGGGAATGTAAAGAGACATTAATCTAGATAACCTTTTGATATTTCCTGTGATGCTGATGAATGATGCTGATGGCTCATGCCTTTGAGCGACATTTTAATGTCTCCCCATTGTGTCTTGCCTGGTGCATATAAAGCGTAGTCCAAAATGAATGCAGTCCTATCAACAGATAAATTATCTAAAAAAAAAATTGTCAGAAAGAAACAAGGGCGCAGACTTGTGGCTCTAAGCTACTGTAATCTTGTGATTGTATCTCATTCTTTCTTATTGACATGGGATTTAGGGCACTTGTTGAGTCCCCCATCGTGGGTAGTGTTCATGGCATGTACATACTTTTGAACATCGTGATTGAAATAGAAAATATTTGCTCTGCGGAATTCATCTTGGGAGAGAGACAAGCATACTACTCTTTTTCTGGCAACTTGATATTGTGTCTGAGTACGAATAATGAAAGTATAAAGAAACATTGTTGCCCTTTTTGCTCTACAATATTGAGCAATTTCATCCTGGACACATTTTACTTTTGCAATCCTTTTTGTCAATCCTGAATACTCTCCTTGGTCCCAATTTGGTTTCTTCATTTTTCTGTCTTTCTTTAACTGGCCACTCATAAGCTAACTTGAACTTAGACAAGATCACATCTGAGATTCCTGCTTGATTGACTCAACGTGGGTGTTTGACGTTTGAATTGCCTGGAGAAACTGAGCCTTATTCCTTGTATGAAGAAGAAAGCGACCCAGACACTGAAGATGAAGATGAAGATGAAGAATGATGCAAAATGCAGCTTAAAGGCACCAACGTTTCTCTTCAGGATGATGGCCTCTTGGTTCATACTTGCCTATAAATTTTCGAAAAGATAAAGGGCTTCTGATGTTTCAGTCCCCTAAAAGTGCTTTCTTTATTACGCGCCTGAATTTAGTAGCTGAAGTATTTCATAGTTTATCATGTCACAGCTAAATATGAAGCAGTTTCTCACATTCCTAGTTTTGTCATACTCAAGGATGTCGTCACAGCAGATTGTGTTGAGCTATTAAACATCAATTCAAAGTAAGGTTTTGTACCTTCTTTTTGTCCTGGCAAAATCAATGTTCGTGCTGTCTTTGCTCATCTTTATTTTATTCTAGAGTTCTATAAATTATATGGGAGGTTTCTTTATTTGAGTACATGAGAATGCATTTATCTTAGTTAGGAAGATTCCTTATTTGGTGAAAGGAAATAACTAATGCATCAAAGTTCATAGTCATGGTGTAGAATCTGTTTTTCCCACACCTTACGCACTTTCAATATTGTAATTGCATGAAGAAAATTCCTCTGTTTTCCTTGGCACCCAAGATCACAAAAATAAGTACAGTGTAGCACTTGCAAATGAAATTCGATTAATTTCCTTTTGTCATTGACTAGAGCCTAATCTCCTATGCTTTTGAGTTTTCGTTGCCCAACTAACATGGATTAAGTGGTGGTAAGTGAACTGAACTGCTCATGAGATGGGTTAGCAGCCTGTTCCTCTAAACCATAGAGGTGAGGGATCAGGTGGGGTATGGAAAGACATACATTATTCTAGTAGATTACTATTTCATTTCTGGAGTAATACTGATGTAGAATGTGCTGCTGGCTTATTACTGTGAGCAAGATTGTAATTTGCCTCCCCATTGTGTTTTGTTTAGTGATTAATAAGAAATGGTAAAAAATTAAATGCATCCACTGAACTTTTATTTTGATTAGCTGAAGATATTAACAATGAACAAGGGTGCTAATGCAAAGTGCCGTAGATGATCAAACTTGCTGCTTTAACTTAGTGTCACGTGGTGATGGTATCTGCATCTTGCTTGTTGGTTACGCATCTTTCTGCCATTGTGCTTGACTTGCCACTCATCTATTAACTGAAATCTAAGCTTGTTTGAACGTCAACTTACATTTCATTTTGCCACTTATAAGTTGAAAGTGTTTCAAATTAAAAATTAAATGGGAACAGACTGGAAGGATTTCTGCACACAATGTGGAAGCACCAACTGACATTGTCACTGAAAAAGAGACTGGAACTGATCTGCTGGGAATGATGAGTAATCTCAAGATGATGGAGCAAGAATTGGCCAGATTAATCAAAGGAAAGATGCAGCTAGAGAAGCTGAGTCCATCGATTTTGCACACTTTGCTGATTTTGCAGGTATGAATAATTTTAATGCACGTACTGCAATGAAACTTCTGTTGCTCATGTGTTGGATCTTAGACTCAGGAGCTATTAGTCATATGACCTCCAATCTAAACCAATTGACCAAATTTCAGCCTGTTAATGCCTTGACTCCTGTTTATCTTCTTGATGGCAGCATAAAGGAAGTGAAAAACATAGGATAGTTAAACCTAGGATGTAACCTTGTGCTGCATGATTGTCTTCATATACCATCTTTCAAATATAATCTCATTTCTGTGAGTAAGTTAGCATCATCTTTAAAGATTGATTGCTATTTTTCTACGACCTTTTGCCTATTACAGGACCAAGTGACTAGGTAATTGGTTGCTGTGGGAAAGGTTGTCACTAGACTCTACAGCATATTCCCTAAGTATGTGCAATAATCATTTGTTGCCCTCCTACCTAGGAGTCAGCCCGACTTTCATCATCAAATATTTCGATGGTTATTATCTCGTTTTTGTGATCTCAAAACATAGAATGCATATTTGCTCGATATGACCTCTCATAAATGCAAGGGCCTATTACACTATCAATAAAGTTCATTGACCGAGGATCTACATCCCTGACGATTAGCACGCTCCAAAATTTGGTGAGCTTATTCCAATAACATGCACTAATATCACTATTCCGTGATGATTGTTATTCTACATGTACATGTTTTCATTCCATTACTTGGTCATCCTTGCGGATCCTTCTCTGGCATCCAATTGACCCATAAGTCAAAAAGAATTTTCGTAAGTGCATGTAGTATGGACAACACAATAGTTTGGATATTAATCACACAGACCATATGCGGGGATTAAATATTAACTAGATGAAAGCAAAGAATGACTTTCGCTATATATGGGTTTGCTAAATTTATATCGCTGCATCTATGGCCAGTCATGGCATGCCTTTCATACATAATCATATGAAATAAGCCGCATTAACATTACATATGAGCTTTTTTGGATGAGATTTTATCATTATTCATGACCTTAGGTCTGGCCGTATAAAACTGTATTGCATGCATCTGTATCTCTCGCCCACATTTTCAATATGTGATCCAAGGAATAATACTGTAGGCCCAAAAGCCTACTTGAGCTTTGGATTTTGTTACTCGGTTTTTTCAGGATTTGCAACAACCTGGGCACATAGATAACTACTGTACAAGATAAATGCACCAGGCTGCATTAGTCTCGAAAGATAAAGGGACCACTCCCAGTGAGCTTTGCAAAAGCCCTCCACGACAACAAAAAGATTAGCATGGCTCTTGCGACAGGATGACATACATAAATCCATAACCTGCTCCTCATGCAGATCAGTTTTAAAAATCAGATAAGTGTCAAGCTTACCCTTACAATTCTCACTCGAAGCTATAGAACATCTGTATTTTCTTTCTACCATGACATTTTAGACACACCTGTTTCTTAAACAAGCAAAATAATTTTGTGTTCCCAAAATCCTTTACATACACTATATGCATGAAACCACCTCGCATAAGAGACCGTTAGTAAAACATGTGATACATTTTCCGAGCATTTACATATGCGCATATTAGTAGTGCAACACATTACTACTACCTTCATGCACATAACTGATATTGTTTACTTTTTGTATGAAAGCTTAGCCTGGTCTTAGGCTCAGAAAATAACTTTTGCTTTCTCAAAAGGGGGAAGGCATCCTTATGATCTGCCTATAATTCCCTCGAGTTAAGGAGAACGTAGTTGAGTCAAGAGACTATCCATGGAGGATTCAAACGGATCCCTTCCCCGAAACTAAGGTACGCTCGATGAGCTCTTCAGAAAAAGGCGTCCTCGATCGAGGCTCGCAATATCTTACATTTTGATATCTTCAAGGTCCAAGCGCCTTTATATGTGGCTGATTAAGTGAACTTTTCCTATTACTCTTTAACATGTTGTTATCATTAGTATACCTGCAGTGTGAATAATGAAATAAGTTGCAGGATAAACATAGTCTAAGAACTCTGGGGCAAAATGAGAAGAGCTATGCAGCTCTCGGAGCTGATAGTAATATCGGGATCACTCTGACCTTGAGTCGTCTATACCTCAAGCTCAAAAAATATGCAATCAGTCTAATGCATATAGTGGTAGCCCCCTCGAGTACTCATGGGAGCTGGCGTATCACATATACCCAAATATACCCAGTTAAAAATGACTAGTCATTTGAATGGACATCCTCTTTAGGGCCATTCTCGAAACGGGCATCCTCTTCAGGACCTTATTGAAAGTGCCGTACATTCAACATCCGGACGAGTAATGGGCCATGTCTCCCAAAACTGTTACAACTGACAGTCCAAATTTGAGGAACTTGTACCCAGTGTCCTCACGGACATCCTCTTCAGGATCGTCCTAAAAAAGACATTCTCTTCAGAATCGTCTATAAAAAGGTATCCTCTTTAGGATCGCCTATGAAAGTGCCGTGTATTCAACATCCGGCCATAGTGAAAGCGCTATATAAATATTATGCCATGTACTCAACATCCGGTAAACACATATGTCTTTAAACCACGAACGAATGCAATATTCTTCACGTATAAGAGCAGAACCATGTTTCTATCCTATTACAAGTCCATCTTGACAATTACATATTCCACATCTTGCAGTAAAATAATGGTTCCTCTGCGAGCAACCTAACATTGGGAGGATTCTTTCCAATTTTAGAACCTCTACAGCGAAGACATGAGTTCTATAATTGAACAAAAATATTTGAAGGATCTTGGAATTTCATCCTCTCTATTCGCTTGTTGAGAATGATCTTGGAATTTTTTTAGTCCTCATTTTTAGCCGCAATTTGATTCTTTCGAGGTCCGCATGTACATGAGGGAAATTGGGAAATTCTTGAGCTCAGTGTTATCCTTCTCGAGGCAGTCTATCTCCTCACGAAGATTCTGCTCGAACAAAAAGGTGTTTATAAGACTTTACGAACCAACAACTAAACCGTCCTTAGCCTCTTTTGCCTTCAGGAAAGTATCTGTATGCTGCAAAGAGGAAAAGCATACAGCTGCCCTCGGAATGATGGCATGTGCCAATTCACTTCGAACACCACAGGAGGAACAAAAAAGATATCCTAATGGTTATGGGGTATTTATTTTCTTCCTCGAGGTAGTTCTTGTTAACATGAATATTTCGGACATCCGGATAGTTCCAACCCCATTGGGAGTCCTGGGCTTTTTGTTCTTCCAACAGCATTTTAATTCGGTCCGGAAAGTTAGCTTGGATATGGATCCTGTGGGCACTGCAAGCGTCAATTAGTCTATCGGATCGAAGTTCCCTCACTGGAGTTTGTCTGATAATAAAGCCTCCGTAGAACAAAGGAGAGGCG